GTGCATACTAATACATGCATATTGAAAAGTGCATCTAATGGTTGCAATTATGGAAGAATCCTTTCATCTAATCATGCGTCAATCATCATTAATACACAAATTAACCTTGAAACTGCAGCGTTTAAATGCCATACTTCATGAGTTTGCTAATTAACATAAATAATTAAGTTTGAACTTCGGGGAGTATTAGAGATATATGCTCATTTCGTTAAAGTGAGATTTCGCTCAAACTTAGTTAAACATCCCCTTAACCTCATCTTTATAAGCAGTCAAAGCAAAAGTTCGCCTACCATTTTTCTGGGCTCGCAATGTCAATGGATTATCAAGGCCTATACCATCAAAATAAATTTAGAAAAATCAAAAACATTTTATGGTTCGCGCAACATAGAACCTGAACATAAGTCCAGAACCTAACAAATGATTAGACTCGGACTTTCAGGGACTATTTGTTATCAATTGAATTTACAGATATCAGTGACGAGAATTTTGATCCTTATTTGTGTTACTATCTTGAGCTCACTTCATGCGAAACACAAGCCACTATCAATGAACACTTTTCATAAAATCATCTGATCACATGCAACCTGCTGAACTTTTTAGAATATAGAAAGCAAAATATACCACGAGTAAATGAGAAAAAATATTCTTGAGTTTTTACAGTTTTAGGCTACAGTATAACCTGCATGACTTTGTCCTCATAATCGCGCAACTGTTGAGCATATGTCATTTCCTTGTTTGAAACTCTGAATATATAAGTATAAATCCATCCAACTGTAAGCCCCAACACTAGGACTAACTGAACAACATTCCCAGCTTGTAACGGATCAACTCCAATGAACTACATAAGATAAAGAACATGAGTCAGGTAAGAATGTGATGATAATTTTGAGCTGAAAGTCTCTCTCAGGTGGAGCCATTCCTTATGCAAATTGGACAGATATGCTCAGTTGATGCTTCATCAATCATACTGTTTGCGTGCGTACATGTCAAAAGGACATAGTGACCGTGTGGAATCCAGAAAAAAAAAAAAAAGAAAGAATCTCTCGGAGAAAAATTAAACATACAAGGGAAAATCTTTACAAGATGTACCTCCAATCCTCTTTCCAGGCCAATGCCAGCACGAGTAACTCCAAGTCCGATCAGTAAAACATCCTTTCTTGTGTATCCGAAAGGTGTCTACAACAGGAGGGAAATTCAAAATATGATTTAACTGAAGTTGAAATCACTAAACAAAATCCCATGATAATGACTTTGTAGCTAGATCATTGCATATTCAGATAATGATCCAATTAGACAATGTTAGGTATATTACGAGTATTCATTTCATTAAGTTTTTACTATGCTTCATTGAGTTTTCGATTCATCAATGTTTAGCAATCATTTCAGAAACTTTGGGAGCACCAACCTTTAGTAATTGTACCGCAGGTACTGCTGGGATAAAATGCTGTTACTGTTATGCAACAAGTATAATGGGCAATCAAGAAAAGATATATCAAATTAAAACTCTAATTTTATTTTTAACAACATAAATAGACTTCATATTCCCAGGACAGAAGATGAACTATAGCTATATCTTTGAGCAGTAGTTGTCTAGACATGCCTTCTGCTGGTTTGAGGATTCATCTTTACCACCACTCGAGTTAGAGGCATCACTGCATCTGGGAATTGAAGAACGTACTTTCTTAATTATTAATCCACAAGATGTTTCCTTCGGAAAAACGGATGCTCCACTTAAGAAAAAACTTTGCGAAATGACCCTTTCTGTGATTAGAATTAAAACAAAAGATCCATCATTTGGACTGGACGACAGAGAGAAAAGCAAGAAAGATACTGCCTTAAACATCAAATACTCAGTTTATAAATATATCCCGGCACGCAAAATTAGGAATTGCATACATGAACAAAATGTTACATTGACTTCATGAATAAGAGCATAAGACAAAGTAGAACCCTGCATTGATTTGTTTTCATCGATAAAACATGTTATGAATTTGTAAAATGCAAATATTGTTTGTCCGGTATTATGGCCAGTGGACAATTTTTCAGATAATGTAAAATCGGATCTTTTTTTTCTCTGTAAGTTTTAAGCCTTTTGAGCTCTGATGTCACAGGTCTTTTATCTATAATTCCTTACCTCTTTGCCAGAATTGGTAGTTTTAAGAAATCTAGTGTAACAGATTTATTTTATTTTGTTATGTGATGAAACTTTATATTGATTAAGCCAAGTTTATCACACATGCAATTTTGTAAACTTTTCCTGGTGCTCTAAAATTAAGAAAATGCAGAAGTATCTGGTTTTGTATAAGCTAATAAAGCAGTAAAGGAGCAATAAAAATCATCTGGTTTGTGTACCAAAGTTAATGACAGCAATTTAACAATTTGAAAATTTGAACAAAAGAGATAGCAGCCATTAGTATGAGCAAGCTTTTGATACTCTTCATCCTAGATTGAAACAATTACATATCAGCCAGGATGTAACATGTAGAGTTGATTGAAGTTCCAACACAATTGAGTACCAGTACAAGTTTCAATGTTTCATTTTGGTCTCTCATAGTTTTCTTCACCTATCTCATGTCAGGCTATGATAGAGTACATTTTAAATGGTTCATTTCTAATATCACATTTAATCTCATAACATTCAGAGTACCGAGATCATCAGGTTATGAATTCTTGACTCTAGCCATTGAGGACTTTGCTTAGACCTTTTGTCTTCTGGTTTTCTTTCCGCTTCTCTCATTTATTTGGATTTTCACCTTTTGCTACTTCATCAATAGAATATCACTTATAAAATGGGCGTGGACAAGGTATGCAAGAGAGAGAGAGAGAGAGAG